TGAAGCCTTGGTATCTTGGATTTCCAACTCAGTAGTTTTTATCACTTTAGATGAAACACCAAGGTGGTTACCAAAAAAAATTGTGTATCTGAATCATTAAGTGAGTTATAAAAATGAGTTAAAATCTGTCACAAATGTTAGTACTTTTGGCTTGATTATACAGATAGTTGACAGCAATTGTCACACAATTTTCTTTCAACTCAATGTTTTCAGAGCTGCCATTCGACATTTAACCCTAAATAAGGTCACATGAATAGTGACATCTTTGTGCCACCAAGATTATGTTCCAGAACATGTATGTAATTTAGCACATTAACTCGTGTGCACTGTCACACTTACCACTTCACTTAACATGTTAAAAAATTAAATTCTCTTACCAAAAGCACCCAAATGACAATCTTGGAATTCCTCAGATAGTATATGATATCATTCATATGTTCATTATTATGGGAACAGCTACTAGATTTACCCTCCTTTTCAGCAAAAAATATGTTTTTTTTCAGCTTAAATTATAGTAAAAGGAAAGGAGAAGTGGATAAGGAGAAAGACACTATGCCACCCAGAGAAGATGGGCCTTGGTCTGGATAAAGAGTCTGCCATCTTGGCAGCACCTCATTTAAAGCTTAGCTTTGTTTGGTCTGGGAATGCATTTATTATGCTTTTATTCTTGAAAAGTATTTTCGTGCTAGCTGCTAGGTTGACTGTTTTTGTTTTGTTTTGTTTAGCGCTTTAAAAATGTTGTTCAAGTGACTCAGTAAGTTGAGTGTCTGACTTCAGCTCAGGTCATGATCTTGAAGTTCATGGGTTTGAGCCCCACATTGGGCTCTGTGCTGATAGTAAAGAGCCTGAAGCCTGCTTCGGATTCTGTGTCTCCCTCTCTCTCTCTGCTCTCTCCTACTTGCACTCTGTCTCTCCCTCTCTCAAAAATAAATAAACGTAAAAATTAAAAAAAGAAAAAGAAAAGAAAAATGCCATTCCACTGTTTCCTGGCCTTCACAGTTTCTGATGAGAAGGTCACAGTCTTTGAATGATTCCTTTGTAAGTAATTTGTCATTTTTCTCTGGTTGCTTTCAAGATTTTTTTATCTTTGATTTTTTTTAATTTAAATGTTAGTTAGTTAACATACAGTGCAATATTGGATTCAGGAGGAGAATTCAGTGATTCATCACTTACATACAACACCCAGTGCTCATTATAACAAGTGCCCTCCTTAGTATCCATCCCCCATCTAGCCCATCCCCCACTTTTATCAACCTTCAGTTTGTTCTCTATCATTAAGAGTTGCTTGTGGTTTGTTTCCTTCTCTCCTCTCTTCCCATCCCCTTTCCATGTGTTCATCTGTTTCATTTCTTAAATTCCACATGTGAGTGAAATCTATTCATCTCTGACTTATTTCACTTAGCATAATATTCTAGCTCTTGTCTTTCTTTATTTCACTTAGCAATTTGTCTTCTCTGACTTATTTCACTTAGCCTAATACATTCTAGCTTGATTCACCTCATTACAAATGGCAAGATTTAATTCTTTTTGATGGCTGAGTAATATTCCATTGTGTGTATATATATGTGTATATATATACACACACACACATATATATATACACACCACATCTTCTTTATACATTCATTAGTCAATGGATATTTGGGCTCTCTCCATAGTTTGGCTATTGTTGATAATGCTGCTATAAACAGTGGGGTACATGTACCCCTTCAAATCTGTATTTTTGTATCCTTTGTATAAATACCCAACAGTGCAACTGCTGGATTATAGGGTAGTTCTATTTTTAGTTTCTTTTTTTTAATGTTTAATTATTTTTGAGAGAGAGATAGTGTGAGCAGGGGAGGGTCAGAGAGAAAGGGGGACACAGAATTTGAAGCAAGCTCCAGGTTCCGCAGTATCAGCACTGAGCCCCACAAAGGGCTAAAACCCACGAACTATGAGATCATGAGTTGAGTCAAAGTTGGACACCCAACTGATTGAGCCACCCAGGCGCCCCTTATTTTTAGTTTCTTGATGAACCTCCATACTGTTCTCCAGATTGGCTGCACCAGTTTATATTCCCACTAATAGTAGAGAGCTCCCCTTTCTCCACATCCTTGCCAACACCTATTGTTTCTTGTGTTGTTAGTTTTAGCCATTCTGACAGGCGTGAGGTGTTGTATCATCGTATCTTTGCTTTTCAGGAGCTTTGCTGAGGCATTGTTTTTTTCATAATTTATGCTGCTTAGGGTTCGCTGAACTCCTCGAAAATGTAAACTTAGGTCTTTCATTACATTTGGGAAGTTTTCAGGTGTTATTTCTTCAAATATTTTTGTGGCATTTCTCTTAGTTAAGAGAAAAATTAGGAAAAATCTGTTCCTTCTGGGACACCAATTATACCTCTATCAGGCCTTTCTACATTGTCTGGCAGATCCCTGATGCTGTGTGTTCATTTTTGTTTTCAATCTTTTTTCTCTACTCTTAACACTGAATCATTTCTATTGCTCTACCTCCCAGCTCACTGGCTTTTCCTGTTACACTCATTCTGCTCTTAAGCCCATCAAGTCAAGTTTTTATTTCAGATATTGTATTTCAACTCTAGAATTTCCTTTTGTTTCTTTCCTATCGTTTCTTTTTCCCCCCCTGGTCTTTTATTCAGTGCAAACTTATTTTTCTTTACTTCATTGAGAATAGCTGTTTTAAAACCCTCATCGGTCAAACATTCTGGGTCCTCTCAGCAGGTTGGTCTCTGCTGTCTTTTCCCTTGGGAACAGGTTGCACTTTCCATAAGTATTCCTATGTAATTTGGGGTTGTGTCCTGGACACTGTGAAAGTTATACTGTGACGATGCTGGATTCTGTTATGTTCCTCTAAAACTAAAAAGGAATATTAATGCTTTTGTTTTCATAAACAATTACTTTGTCAGAACCAAACTGCTAACTCCGTCTCCTTGGTACTTTTATCTGTAACTACACTGCTTTGTGCTTGCCCCAAAGTGCAGGTCAGGCATCTAATATTGCTTGTTATTAGGTGGGGAGCAGCCACTACATAAAAATAGACTGTAATACAAAGTCTACTTCTTTAGACTGCTGGTTTAACTCGGAACTCAGAATGCATTTCTCATATAAATAATTCTGTTACCTTAAGTGGTTATATTAACAAACCATTTAATCAAGTCATTTAGCCAACCTGCACCCAAATCCAGCTGTTTTTACATAAGAAAAAGCAAAGCAGTAGCTCGGTTTTCTTTTCCATATATGATCAGACAAGTGAAAAAATAACTGGTATAGGATCACTTTTACCATTAAGTTCTCCCAAGTAAGCAAATGTGCCAATTACCATTCTCAAAAATTCTAATGGGAGGGACTTCTCTTTGTGGGTAAAATACAGAAGAACTAGACATTTACTCCTATAGTAACAGTAAGAAAGACCCAGACAAAATAAACACCATACTTTTCTATGAAACTAGCAAAGAGCAGTGGATGCAAGGAAGCTGTGATGGCCAGTCTCCTTAATTGTGGTAGAGACTTCCATGCAGTCTCTGAAGGCTTAGGTGTGGGAAAAATGGCCTTCAGCCTTGGAGGCTGCTTGCATCACTCCACGTATCTTGGTGAGCGAGGGCATTTTACTCACCACTTGGAAGAATTAGGCTCTATTACAGATCCTTTAAGAACTCATTAAGATTAATGACTGAGTAGCATCGCAGCTGTCACATAATCAGCTGTCGAAAAATCACCGAGCTAAAAACTCCACCACTCATTCTATTATCTCTGCTTCACAGAAGGTTCTGAAATACACCTCTGGGCTGGTATTTCATCAGCCTACGTGCGCACTTCGAAGCATCATTGAAGGCTCTTCCAAGATAACAATTGCATAGTTTTTCCTAAGGGAAGGCTGTTATTCCTAAGAATGCTCTCTCTGGAGGCACCACTGCTCAGTGCCCGTTGTCTGGAGCTGGGCCACCAGGGGAGTGGCTGTTCTCTGTGTACAAGCTTGCTGACATCTCTCTTGCCAGAACTACATACAGCATGAGCCAGGTTACGCAGGTGTCAGGATTACAAGGACAGAGTCAAATATGCGGGCTAAGTAGCCTCGAAGATCTCCCCAGTATTCTTGGGCTGTTTATGTGAGGAAAGGGAGGCCAGTTAAAAGCAGGTTCTGGTAGCAGAGTTGTCCTGTATTAATCCCATACCACTCTGGGAAACATTTTAAGGTGGTTCTGTCCCACTGTTATAGAAGAGGAAGCTGAGGGGCGCCCGGGTGGCTCAGTTGGTTAAGCGTCCAACTTTGGTTCAGGTCATGATCTCACGGCTCATGAGTTCAAGCCCCACGTTGGGGCTCAGAGCTCAACAGCTCAGAGCTTCGAGCCTGCTTCAGATTCTGTGTTTCCCTCTCTCTCTCTGCCACCCCCTCACTCACACTCTTGTCTCTCTCTCAAAAATAACCAAAACAAAATAAAAGAAAATAAAAAGCTGAAACTGCTTTTCTAAAAGCCTGACTGAGAAGGAAAGATTATTGCTGCTCTGAAAATAAAAGCCTATCAATTCCCTTGAACTGAAACATCTGTTTTGGTTGCCAGAATCCTGATTCGTACTAAGGAACTATTTCAAATGTTGCATTCTAAATATTTTGAAATGGTCAAGTTCTAGATACTAGGGCTATTCCTGGAGGAAAACTGTCATTGGGTGGAGTGCGGAAGCATTTAAGTTCATGCTGATTCCTCCAGTTTCAGTGACTGATACTACTGAGTGTATAGTAGTATTCATGGATTCGTTTTTGACTGGAAAATAATAAACAACTTGCTTATGACTACCTGAACTCGAAGCATAATACTGCAAATTGCTTGCCCAATATTCTTAGTTTCTAAAGGTATTTGGTTAAGCATATTAAGGCGAAAGACAGAATGGAACATGATTATCAAAAGCTCACCTATTTCTAAATTACATTGGGACCAAAAAATGAAATAGAAAGGAGCATGGAAAAAGGTTTAGCTACAGTATAAAATACAAAGTCAGCCTTACCCACTGCACCCGACGACTTTATTGTACAGATAGGATGGCAAGCCTTTCAGGTGAATGTTGTTATCCACATACACGTACTGTAGTTCTCGAGATCGACCTAAATCTGGATTAGAAAGAGAAGTACTATAATTCCCATAACTATGTACCAGCAGAGTGTGAAATGTAAAATGTAATCCATGATATCAGAACAATTCAAAATTTCTATTCTGGAAGACAAACTATTATAGATTTAATTGAACTCTGCGCGTGAAACCAAGTCAGCTCATAGTAGATTACTGTGCATCAGAAAACATGACCATATGGGGCACCTGGGTGGCTCAGTCGGTTGAGTGTCTGACTTTGGCTCCGGTCATGATCCCATGGTTCATGTATCGGGCTTGCTGCTGTCAGCGCAGGGACTGCTTTGGATCCTCTGTCTCCCCCTCTCTCTCATTCTCTCCTCTACCCTGGCTCACACTCTCTCTTTATCAAATAAACATTTAAAAAAAAAAAAGAAAGAAAGAAAACGTGACTGTAGAAAAATTACTTAACTCACCTGAACCTTAATTTCTTGAACTGTAAAATGAGGTAGCTGGGAACAGGATATTATTAAATTTCCTTCCTACACAGAACTTCTATGACTTTTTAAAACAATTTTAATTTAAGAATAATGTTTGTTGTAGGTCTTCATTCAGTTTCATTTTCCTCCAATGAGAAGTTTGGCAGATCAGCCTAGACCAGCTTAGTTCCACCCCTGTCTTAACCAGTGTGCACCACCCCCCACCCCAGCAGAGAGGAGCGGCGGGGGGGGGGGGGGGTGGAGGGGGCGCTCGAGGGGATCAGGCCCTGGCGGGTGGAAGTCTCTGGAGCTAGGCCAGCGCTGGGATGGAACAAATGTCCAAGGCTGCAGCGAGAGTAAGAAGCAAAGGGAACCCTAAACCTCAGTCCCCTAGTGAGGTGAAGGCAAGGTGGACGGGCCAGTAAGGACTGGAATGGGCCTTGTTGAAAAGAAAACCACAGGCCCAGAATGGAGTCACTTATGCTCAGCAACGTCACCAAACAGGGGCTTAATACCTAACCTAACTGCAGTTTCAAACCCTCCCCCCGGCCCCGCCCCCACCCCGGAATGTACCCTTTAACCAGTCAACATGGAACTTCCTGGTCAGCACTAGGAAATTTACTGATAGACCCCATCCGTTCCCCTTAGCGGGGCAACCTTGCCTGAAACAATTCATTCTTTCCTAATAATTTCCTTTTTATGGCTCCCTCTCTGCCTTTAAAGATTTTTCCTTTTCTACAGCTTGACAGAGCCGGGATACTGCCCCATTATCACTTAATCAAGCCAATTAGATCTTCAAACTTGCTCGGTTGAATTTTTGTTATCTTACAGTACGTACCAGGAATGGGGAAGGGGGGGTCCAAAAAGAGGGGTTTGCAACAGAACAGGTGTGCCAGAGACAGAATCCAGATGTTTTCCAGAAACAGCTGGGCAATGGGGGAGCCAAGACTGGAGGGGGATACTCAGTGAAGAGACGAGGCAGAGTTACCGAAGGTGACCTCTGGTTGCCACAGGCAGCAGAGACACTTTCAAGTGTTGCGGTCATCTGTTCCTGCCTACTGTGTGCCCAAGAGTATTCGCCCAGGCTTCCTTTCCACTCCTAGCACTCACTGGGTGGGGCTCTTTGTCTTCACTGTCACGGAACAGAGTCCTCAGCAGCCTTCTAACCCTCTCCTCCCTGAAGCAAGAACATCATTTTTGAACACTTCTCTGGAGCTCTGCTTGTGCAAACAGGCAGCAGGCTGAAGGACATCTCTTCCCCCTTGTCCTGCAGTTTGGGAAAGACTGGGGGGCCCAGACAGCTAAATCAGGGCATTCTTAAGTATATTTATATTTCAAAAGAAAACCCATTTACCCGTTAAGGGCCTTGTCAGCACTGTGGTTGGCCCTGGGGAGAGAGGTGAGGATGCGAAGCAACAGATGAAGACGGACAGAAAAAATGAGAACTGCCTTAGAGTTCAGTCACCGCTCGAGACAGTGGTTTGTAGAAGTCTTATGGATTCACTGCTGGGTTCTGGACACTCTGTTACAGATGGTGGGAAGAGTGACAGAAGACTGAGGTAAGAAGGGTTCCTTGTGGCATAGGGTGAGGAAGGTCCTCCCTCCTCCTTCCCACTGCTAGTCCTATATCATAATCCTGAAAATCCCGTCCAGGACTAGCACTAGAGCAAGACACAAAAAGAGGAAGCAAAGCTGGGAGTGCTGGGAGTGCACATAAGGGGAAGTGGCAACTCTCAGGGAGAAAAAAAGAATTTCCGGGCTGCTGGCTAGAGACGTCCTTCCCCAGTGTGGTGGCTTAACGACATCTAACAAAAAGAAAAGGCAGACATGGCATGTGACTTCAGACAGTAAGCCACAAAAGGCACTGCGGCTTCCTCTTTGCTCTCTGCTTTGGATCACTCCTTCTGGAGGAAGACAACTTCCTGGTCAGAAGAGCCCTCCAGCAGATTTCTGGAGAAGAAATGGGGCCCATGGCCAATAGCCATGTGAGTAAGCCATCTTGGAAGCAGCCCCTCCAAGCCACAGGTCAAGTCTTCAGATTACTACAACCCCAAGGATATGTAAATGTCCTGTTCCTCCTCAAAGTCTTGCATATTAATTTTAGCATCCAACAATGGATCTTGGTTTGCAGTAATTATTGCACGGTATGTATCTAATGCTATACCATCTTTCTGTCTACATTTATTAAGTGCAATTCAGTAAGGAAGAGGCTTTCCTTCTTTATGTATTTATTTAGAGGGAGGCAGAAATAGCACAAGTGGAGGAGGGGCAGAGAGAGAGAATCCCAAGCAGGCTCTGCATTACCAGCACAGAGCTCAATGTGGGGCTTGACCTTACAAAGCTGTGAGATCATGATCTGAGCCAAAACCAAGGGTTTTAACCAGACTGAGTCACCCAGGTGCCCCTAGTTGCTTGATTTTATATCCACATGGATTCATGGATATTTATTTTATCATAAGGACTAAAACCCCAATACAATTATGATTTATTGTATTGGTCAAAATGTTCCAGTTTTGGCAATTAAGAGCAGTTTAAGTTTGGCTCTTAGGTTCTCTAACAAGCTTTGATCCTTTTTTAAAAATTTTTTAACATTTATTCATTTTTTTTTTGAGAGACAGGGAGAGAGTGAGCAGGGGAGGGGCAGAGAAAGAGAGAAAGAGAGAGAGAGAGAGAGAGAGAGAAAATCCGAAGCAGGTTCCAGGCTCTGAGCTGTCAGCACAGAGCCTGATGTGGGGCTCAAACCCATGAACCGCGAGATCATGACCTAAGCGAAGTTGGCTGCTTAACTGACTGAGTCACCAGGTACCCCAAGTTTTCTTCCTTTTTTGAGCGCTTCCTTACTTTCTGGCACAAGGTGTCTAAGCTCAGCTTGTATTTTCCCTCCTCTAGCCCTGAAATCAACTACTTCTCCAAGGAGCCTCCATTCCTTTTACTGGGGTGTAGTGTTTATAAACCAAGATCTGGTCCATGCGTGCTCATTCCTGTGGGGGTATCACTGCTTCTAGGATCTCTTCAGGGACAGACCTATAAAACATATGGATGTATGCAAATCCATGTGTACATCTCCATCTGTGTCAAAAGATGGGTCGATTCTTGATACTTCCCTCCAGAGGGTTCTACCAATTTGCATTCTCTCCAGCAACATATGAAGGCGTTGCCTTTCTCATAATCTTGCCAACTTTTAAAACATGTTATCCTCTTTAAAAATTTGTGTCGTTCTGATAGGGGAGAAATGATATCCTGGCATTGTTTTCATTTGCATTTCTTTAATTATGAGTGTGAACATTTTCAAATATGTCTGAGGGCCATTTTTACTTTTTTTTTTTTTAAATATTTTTATTTATTTCTAGGAGAGAGAGAGAGAGAGACAGCGTGAGCAGGGGAGGGTCAGAGAGAGAAGGAGACACAGACTCTGAAATAGGTTCCAGGCTCTGAGCTGGCAGACAGCACAGAGCCCGACGCGGGGCTCAAACCCACGCACCGCAAGATCATGACCTAAGCGAAAGTCGGATGCTTAACCGACTAAGCCACCCAGGCGCCCCTGGGCCATTTTTACTTTTTTGGTGTGAATTGTCTGCTCATATCTCATGTATCTGTTCTTTCATTCATTAGCCGTGTGAGCAGGGCTGCAAGTGTGCAATACGTTCGATGGCACAGTGGTGCCCAGACCCTCAGCCTTACCAAGTTGTTATGACAACTGATAGTGGAAGTCACCTGTGAAATTTAAACCACTACACAATTTTTTTTAAGCCTAAGTATATATACTTGCCAAAGCAATGTGTCCTGCTACTGTAGTAAACATGTACATACATATATAGTGGTAAAAAAAAAAAAAAAAAAAAGCTATACATTTAAAGAACATAGATGGGAAAAATACAGATAGAAATACCAGAATCCACTTGCAATGAAAAAGGCCTAGGCATTACTCAAAGAATTCTTATTCTAGATTTCCTTACTACTTCTCTGACATGCCTACAAATCTCCTGTCATCACAAACAGACACCTGTAAACTTTAAAGGCATATAGAAAACTCTAGAATTTTTTTTAGAAATGAAACAACACTGATAAAATGCAAAAATCCCTGGTTTCAGAGCCCCTATGGGATTCAAAGAAAGATGATTTACTTGAGCTTCTGCATCGGGAAAGAGTATAAGATACTAATTCATGGAGTGAGAATGTGGTCTTATAGTCAGACAACTTGGGTCAGAATACTGAGTACTGTCCCAACCATGTGAAGGGAACCATCAGGCTGGCTCTTAAGTTTGGTGAGAATTACTAATGAAGTTTCTAAATTATCAAGCAGAATCTTTGGCATACACCTTTTCCAATATATGGCAGTTATTATTATTCTCATTATTAGTAGGTGACATATTTGGAAGTGTGGCCCTGCAGCAGAAGGCCAATTAAGACAGAGTTCTCCTTGGCATGCAGCAAAAGGCATGAACACTTTTCTATGGTTTAATTGCACAGAAAAGAGTTGGGAGGCAAAAGCCTCTAGAGGCAGTGATTCATCCCGAGTCAAGGACACAAAATGGGACACGACAGTGGAAGCACCTCTCTCCCTC